GATGATGAACTATAGGCTACCTTCACAAAGACTTGACAGGTTTCTCATGAGATCGAGTAGTGACTGGAGAGGGGACAGGAAAAACACACGTCACTTTTGGAATGTGACTTGTTTACCTGCTGGTTCAGGAAAGCGTGGGAGTCATTCGTTCATTGGAGGGTTATTAAAGTTTGTCAAGCTTACTTTATGTATGCCTGTTGATAACGCTAAGAGATGTAAATGCTGGTTTGAAATTTAACCCTACCTGTCCGTTTAATGTATTTGGCCTTGGGCCCTCTTGGTTAGGAACTAGTTCTGATGGACATAAAACATTCTGGTTTCGAGCATTATAATAATGGGATCAGATAATAGAGTTTAAACAGTTTCAGATGTCCGTAGACAGCGACCACTCTGTTTTCTCATCTCTTTTGAGCCTTCGGTGATATACCGTGGTCTTAAAGTTTATGTCTTTATAAATGGCGGGGCGGAAAGCTGTGAATCGTATGTTTAACTATAATACTGTTTAATGTTTGTTCGCTATATTTTTTTTGTTGGTATTTGGATTATTCTTTTCACTTGAGAAGTAATGGAAAGTCTGAGGGGGTGGGGCGTGAAAAAGGGGGGGGGGTAGAAATCATTGTTTGATTATTCTTTTAACTCGAGAAGTAATGGAACGTCTGAGGGGGTGGGGTAGAAATCCTAGTACTCAGGGTCATTTAGCTGTAATACGAGCGTATGTAATTTGGAAAGGTTAATACAAGTGCCGCAATATAGATAAGGCTCTAGTCCTGTAGACCACTTACGACGTTGGCCTGGTGGTATTTAGTCCCCGCTGAATAGAGAAGGCTATTTCCTGAAGTACTTTCAGGCTCGTTCAGTGTGACAAGGTCAAGTCCGGATCAGGCCGACCCCGCTGCGCACTGTTGGTATCATAACATTATGGCTGCGGTAGGCGCGTTCTTGGTTCAAGTGCCCAAAAGACGTTTTTGAATTTTTGAATTTATTTTGAGATGCGCTTCTCCCCCCCCTCCCCCCTCCTAATCTTTCATCGTTCTGTATTGTTAGGGGTGTTAAACCGTCCCTTGTCATAACACATAATATTTTGTCACCGAGAAGCGCCATCTGGTGATAGTATCCTCCCAAATCAAATACAAATCCGAAAGTCCTTTGTTTTGGTGGTATTGGCGTGCGGTGTTTGAAGAAGGTCATCTATCATCTTTAGAGAGGGACCTTCTAGGGAGTCATGGGATGACCTAAGAGGTGTGCGTTATGAAGAAGTGATAATGGAAATCTCACGGACACCGACAGGAGGGCCGGTCACGGGTCAGATGGACAAATTGTTCGGACCAAGATGCATTGTTGTTTTTCTCACGTGGAGCAGGACTGATCTCTAAGCCTTGCTGTAGGTTATAATAATTCTTGGATGTCAAAACCAGTGAAAAAGACGGTTTTAGCTCCAGACTTTAAGGATTCTTTGCCCCCCCCCCTCCAACCTTTTGAACGCAGTGCTAGTTTGTGTAGAATATAACCAAAAAAAAAAAAAAAGAAGGAAGAGGTCTACTTTTCAATTTGTCCTTCGAGGACAAACCCGTGAAACCAACTTGTGATGAAGTAAGTGATTATTGCGGGAAATATCTCTTCCTCGTACTATTGCTGCTTATGGGTATGGATTAATAATCCCAACTCTTATGTTATAAAAGAAATGAAAAGTGTGCAGCGACTTTCAGTCAGTTTATAAATCAAGGATTCTAACTAGATTGGCGATCGGATCGCCGTTTAGAGCACGGTTTTTCATTCAGAACTCACCCGAGCGCGGTTCTGTTTGTCAGCTTCTGTCCCTTCTACACCGAACTAGGAAAAATGGACGAGAGATTGTTCTGTTTATGTCGATGTTCATTAAAGTGTGTGTAGGTATTTCAGTATGTACCGGACGCTTACGTTGGTATTTTTATGTGACTTTACAAGTGTGGGTTTTTTTGTGTGTGTTTAAAAAGCTGAATGCGCATTGATTTTATGTTGTTAGATGTGTAGATGTGTAGATGTGTAGATGTGTAGATGTGTTGTTGTTCTTTTCGTTCGTCATGTTGCATTGGACATTTTTTTATTTTCCTTTATTAGTATATTTGGTGAACCATGCGTAGAATGTTGATGATTTCACTTTTGTTAATTTTGTTTTAATGATTTTACATTTGCTAATGTTGTGTTGATGATTTCACTTGTGCTAATGTTATGTTGATGATCTCACTTAGCTTTATTCCGTGCTATTGCGCTTTTGAACTTGACAATTCAACGTTCTTTGTTGTTGTTTTTATTATACTTATTTCTTGTTTGTATATTGTTTCCATTGTCATCGATATTGGAGTTCAGTGAACTGACTATACGAAGAGATGAAAATTAGAACGTGAATCTTATAGGTAGTGGGAAATTGCTGTGTGTGTTTTATTACGAGATATCTCAAGAAAAAAAAATAGGGCATTAAGGTGACGACCCTCTAATCCTTCTCTAAAATTGCTAAGTGAAGGCAGCTATACGCCGTGTAAGGACCGAACTGGAGTCAATAAATGGCGTTGCTGATACTATTCACATGGTACACCGCGTTTTTACAGTCCGGTCCAAATGACGTCACAGCCCGTTGCCAGTGGCAATAGATTTTACAGAGTGTTTGCTGGACTTCGAAATCTAATATGTCTTCTCTTTATCTGTTTATTTTATTTAAGTATCATGTTGTGTTCACTGCAGCAGGTGCCTGCGTCTGTGCTTAACCTAGTCCTTGTAGTTTCGATTTGCTTTTTTTCTGATCCTCCCGAGATCTTCAATGCTGTGTTCCCTTTTAAAAAATAATGTAGGTGTTTTACGCCCTCATTCACACTATTTAGATCGTTAAGGAGGCGAACTTCGACACTGCTTTTCAGTGTCAACCCGGACTGAGAGCTAGAGGGATACATCCCAAAGAAAAGTCCGAGATACTCGGTAGAAATTCTCTTGGTTTTGAGTGCTGCTGCTGGTATTTCTACCAACTCTGGTGTCTCGTGTCTCTGGGAGAAGTAGATTGTAAAACAGTCTAATAGATGATAGGTGGGCAGAAAGTAGTCTCGAGTCACGTGGACGGAGGGGG